GATAGCCAAGTGGATCCGCAGACTACTTTGACAATGTTACATGACGAAATTCATTGTCAATAACAGGACAGATGCATGAATTTGAACTGACACCAATTTGTTTCTTACGATAACAAATTGTCAGGTAACTAAGCACACAACTGTAAAATGGCCCATTGGACCCCAGTCAAAACCATTTCCCTTGAATTTGCCCTTCATACTCATTTACTATTGGCTATTTTGAACTTCTATAATTAGTTCGAACTTTTTTTCACTTCTCCTGAGAGTTCGAAATAGTAGGGTTCAACTGTAAGTCATAACTGACATTTAGTTATTAATAATGATTAGGATTAATTTAAGGCTACAGCAATTTTAATATTATTAACTAAAATGAAGTCAGCTACTAAATGTATTCAAGCATCACTACAATGTAACGTGTTCATGCAGTAACAAGCTGGTGTATATTTAACAATAATTATTAGGTTTATGAGCTTGAGTCAGCTTTCTACTGCTTGACGAGGGCCAGGCAAAGTCAACCATCCCTCATGCATAGGAATCAAGAGTTGTTAATTCGAGTGGTAAGAAGGACACTATTAGACAGTATGTGTTTTTTTGCAGGTGAAGCACAAGCTCCAAGTTACACTGGATCAGATGTCCCAGATCAAGATGTGGATGACAACGAGAATGCTGCACCCCCTCCCCCAAGTGCACCTCCTGCGGACATGTTTGGTAGTTATGCAGGATATGAGAATGTTAATTTTGGTAAGTGACAGTAATTACGGTGTAAAATTAAAGATTACTGTAATTCAAAGGTAAATACTGTTAATAAAAGCTTTTTTTTAGCCTGTTGGCTCATCAGTAAAGTACTGGCACAATGTGAATGTTAGTTATGATCTTTGCTTTGCCAGGAGTGATTGCCTTAAATTAACCACTGCCTCTAATAAAAGTAATTGGGTATTTATGTAGGACGGCTCTAAAAAGGGCCACTGAAGGGCCAGAGCTGAGTGTCTGTAATATGGAGGTGCCTCAGCCTGTATTATAGAGATAAAAGTTACAGTATGTAATATAGATTTAATGAATTCTGGTTTTGCTGGAATGAAGTGAAATGTCCTAAATTTTTTTTAAAAAAATAGTGTGTCTGCAAGAAGAGGTTCAGCTATAATTTGATTCAAGCTCTCACACTAATCTGACTAATTTTAAAACAGAAGTGTCTTTAACATTAGCCATCCTGACAGCTGGATATTTTCGGCCTTTAATTAGTATGTACAACTGCCAATCCTGTTTTTCAGGTACTGAGTATTTGCCGCCTCCACCGCCATATGAACCACCTCCACAGCAGCAGACACCAGAACAGAATTTCCAGCAGTAAGTTAACCTAGGACACTCGTCTGATGATAATAGCCCAACTTTGAGGACACTCAGATGGACGTACCTCTTTGTGCTGTCACTATTTTTTTTCTGCTGATCAAGGGAAGTGTCAGATTTCACCCCAAAATTCCATACTCCAATAATTAACTCTATAGCAGGGCCATAACCCATAGCACCTGTTACGGCTGAGCATGCTTGATGAGCTCTTGATGAATCATGGTTAACGGGTGAACTTTCCTGTAGTTGGTACAATTCACCCATAAAGTATATATACCAGGCCACTGTGAGTGAGCTGAGTCAAAACTCTAATGACAACCCTGTATAGAAGTGGAGATCCTGACTAGCTTGGGTCACACACAGTTTGTATTGCCGTTTTATCTACTTATAGTAGAGAGGATTTTGTGACACATCGGGCTGCACCACGGGGTTTAAAGATGAATGTGAAATCTTGAATTGCTCAAATGTTAAATTACTTGTGCACAAAAAATTCAAACCAAGCAATAATTTATCAGACAATGTGAATCTCTGTAGAACTATACATAATACCTTATTAGTGTGGAATTTTTTAGTTGAATCTTTTGAGTAGCGGGAATAGAATAAAGAGCTCCTAGAGGTGGTTATTATATATTTTACTCACAGATAGGCTTCTGTTTCATTGTCATGGTGAATTTGTTCTTTTTTTTTGTCAATGCATAATTATTTCTCTTGTTGCAGGGCCACAGCTATATCTGAAGACCAAGCAAGGGATGCACTGCTGGCATTTGTAGCTGAGAATTGCTGTTATGGAAAGAAAGCTGCAGAAGACATGGAAATCAAGGACATAACTCCATCAAGTGCTTATCATGTAAGTGAGACTTATTCAAGTAATTAAGTACTATACTTATTGCCCCATGCATCATTATCAATGTGCAAAGTAGTTCGATAACAGACCTGTTTTCTAATGGCTAGAAAGTGTGTTTTGATTCTGGATTATGTCCGTGCTCTAGCCATGGCTGTGTGGGGTCCTTGTTAGCATTCTTGGGCAAAACATTTACTAGACACTTAACCCTTAAGATCACAGTGGGCACCCGACTCTCTACTCAGGGGTATTTAAATGGGCACTGGTTTGCTGGAGTTAACAACAAAATACTTAAAGAGTTTATATAAGGTGTGATTTACCAGCATCTCATTATGCCTGGAATATAGCGATATGCTAATCACTGAGTTGCTTCATGTTAAAAAAAAAAATGACAGAAGGTGTCGGCATCTGATGAACCTTCTGATTCCCCCTGTCACTGAAGCTAGGCTGTGTCTTGCCCAAGAACATAACACAATAACCCTGGCCAGAGCTTGATCCACTGCTCAAGCTGGAGTCCAAATAAGCTGACTATAAACATTAAGCCACTTCTTCTTCCACATGAACTTATTATCTAGAGTGTTATTCTTTTTTCATTTTTTAGTACAACTTGGCAAGTTTCTGTGAATCAAGATCTACAGCCTGGAAATATGATCCTTACCGAGGTGATTCTAGAAAATAAGAAACAAGTAAATATACAATTATACAGTTCTAAGTTTACTCTTGGTCTTTTTGAACAGATATGACGCTGTTGTTTAATTGTCAAATTATGATCAAGCTGTTGTTAGATAATCAGCAAATGATGATGTATATCTAGATTAACTACATAGGTTCATACATGTAGGCTTTTTTAAAACTGATTTTCTGAATTTTTCGTATTATACCCAGCAAGTTATTCAATCTGTTTTCCAAAAAAATCCACTCGCTGAGGTTTTGTCCTGATTTATTAATCTATTTCCATCCCCGCTATCCTTTGTCATCTTCACTCTCTTTCATTCACCTGTCATTCGTCCAGAACTTTGTCAGTTGACAAGAAATTTGTCAGTTTCCTCTGTGATCTAGGTCAATCATGCCTTAATACTAATACTAACAGCAAAACTAGGTTATTGTACCTCATGAAATCATTCTCTCATAGGTCAGCACATTGATGGTCCACAAAATGGCCCTGCCCCTCCCCCCTGGAGTATCCCTGCTCAACCGAACCAGCTATTTACACCCCAGGAGGCCCACATTGAAGTGCCGCACACTGCTACGGTTAAGGTATACATATTAAAAAAGGTGCAAACATGACGTGCAATAATCACCACCAAACATACCAAGTGTGGTTTCCATGGAAATCTGATTACATTTTTTGTTCAAGCTTTTATTGCGGCTTTCTTGAAATAATTAGACGTTCGATAAATAGACGGTTACTTGACTCAAAACTTGATTGTTGATTTGATTCCAAAGACCTGCGAAAGTCTCAGTCGGTAGCAAAATAGCGTTTGATACACCTTTCAACGTATTTCTCAACAAACAAACTCACATGCTGTTTTCTATAACATACATGTAATTCAATGGAAAAGCTGGGTTTGCTCTTTGAAAACTGATATTTACATGAAAAAGTGAGAATAAAACATTTATTAATAATGGAAGTAGATACTTTTGGCAACTGTGTCACGTGACTGGGCAAACAATAGTCAGTCGCAAAGTGGAATTACTTCCTTTGTTTGCTGGTTGGCTGCAAAGACTGACGCATTAGGTCCTACACAGTACATTATGTTATAAATACTGAGATATATGCGATGTTAAATTGTGACTTGCTCTATGATTTCAGCCTTGTCATGAGTGTAGGGCCATGGGTTACAAACGCTGTTACAGATGCTATGGAAGAGGCAGGGTAATGTTCAGTCCTTCTTGTTTTCTTTGTCTCGATGTTATTAAATGAGCTACGTCACGGTTGGCGCATCTTGAAAAGTTTAGCCTAAATTTTTCAAGTTCGTCTTTTGTAATCCGCGTTAATCTTCTCCATCCTCAACCATCCTTGTTCCTTTACAGTTTATTATTATCTCTTTGGTGTTTTTCTATGAACTACTATTTTCAGGTTTCCTTCAGTTTAAAGGTAATTTTGTACCTGGCCAAAATAACTCAAAATATACCGTGATTGAGCTCCTTTCCGGACGATGATTACGATTACGGTTCATTCAAACTTCCACAAACGGCCACCTCCCCACAACGGCCACTTTTTTCGGTCCCGGCGGACGGTCCAGACATTCAGTCTTATTTTAACCTCTCTACAACTCCCACCTAGAGCTACACTGCGGCAATGACCACTAAAGCACGTCCCAGCTGCCAAAATAATAACCTCTCGACAACGGCCAGGTATTCAACGACTGACGAACAGTGTATACTAAACCGCATTTTCTATTGTAAAAGGTCACGAGTCTTAATGCATACCCGCGCGCCGTTGGTCTCTATTTCTGTTTAGTTTCTGTTTTCTTGATTGTGTTACGTCTTTAATAGGCATTTTTTTAACAATCCAAATAAAAACCAGGTGTAATATTACACCCCTACCTTCCCATAACGGCCACCTCTCTTCAACAGCCACTCTCCTCTGTCCCCAAAGGTTGCCGTTGTGGAGAGGTTCGACTGTAGTTATTTATCACCTATTGTGTATTCTGTCAGGTTCGTTGTACTTGGTGCCACGGCTCTGGTCACCGCACGGAATACCGAGACGGACAGAGTCATCGAGTCCGCTGCACGTGGTGTCATGGATCAGGAAGAAGAATGTAAGTACTGGATTGATGACTTAGTGGAGCGTTATCTGGGGCTTAAAGCTCGTTTTTAGGTGCAAAGTGCACTATTGGAATGGTTTCAAGGGTTATCGTCCGCTAAAGTACTACGTCACTAAAGCACTAGCATGTAAACTTTAATGTTTGCTTATTAGAGCGGTTTTGAATTGAGTGTAGAAAGTACNATTGGCGCATCTTGAAAAGTTTAGCCTAAATTTTTCAAGTTCATCGTTTGTAATCCGCGTTAATCTTCTCCATCCTCAACCATCCTTGTTCCTTTATAGTTTATTATTATCTCTTTGGTGCTTTTCTATGAGCTACTATTGTCAGGTTTCCTTCAATTCAAGGTAATTTTGTACCTGGCCAAAATAACTCAAAATAGTGTGACTGAGCTCCTTTAAGGACGATGATTATGATTACGGTTCATTCAAACTTCCACAAGCGGCCACTTTTCTCGGTCCCAGCGGAAGGTCCATACATTCATTCTTATTTTAACCTCTCTGCAACGCCCACCTCTACACAACGGCAGTGACCATTAGAGCACTTCCCAGCGGCCAAAATAATAACCCCTCGACAACGGCCAGGTATTCAACGACTGACGAACAGTGTATACAAAACCTCACTTTCTATTGTTAAAGGTCACGAGTCTTAATCCCTACCCGCGCGCCGTTGGTCTCTGTTTCTGTTTCTTCTTTAAATATGCTGCAACAGGCATTTTTCACAACCCAAATAAAAACCAGGTGTCATATTACACCCCAACCTCCCCATAACGGCCACCTCTCTACAACAACCACTCTCCTCTGTCCCCAAAGGTTGCCGTTGTGGAGAGGTTCGACTGTAGTTATTTATCACCCATTGTGTATTCTGCCAGGTTCGTTGTACTTGGTGCCACGGCTCTGGTCACCGCACGGAATACCGGGATGGACAGAGTCATCGAGTCCGCTGCACGTGGTGTCACGGATCAGGAAGGAGAATGTAAGTACTGGATTGGTGACTTAGTGGAGCGTTATCTGGGACTTAAAGCTGGTTTTTAGGTGCAAAGTGCACTATTGGGATGGTTTAAAGGGTTATCGTCCGCTAAAGTACTAAGTCACTTAAGGACTAGCATGTAAACTTTAATGTTTGTTTATTAGAGCGGTTTTGAATTGATTGTAGAAAGTACTGAGGCAATTACTTTGGTTTTAGTTTGATTTGGTTTTACTACGGTTTGAGATTGAGTAGTCTAATTGGTAAGTTACTGGACAGGTTTGGGTTTGGTTTTTAAGACGCTCAATTGAAAATTGCTCTAATATCGATAACAAGCATTGAAGATTTAAGTCAAGTGAAAACGGGAACTTCACCCCTAGAACAAGGCAAAGAGTTTCGCCTGGTCTAAGTCCCGTTGACGTTTGTGAGAAAGAAGCTGGAACAAGTGTTTTAATTGGCCCAGCATAGAAGTTTCATTGTGCTTATGCTATGCTCC